AGATAGATAGATAGATAGATAGATAGATAGATAGATAGATAGATAGACAGACAGATAGATCCTGCTGTCTCTACTCCTGAATGCTCAGCCCGTGAGCTTGGCCTACCACGCCTGGCTCATACATGGCATTCAGATGAGTCTGAAGAATAAATCACCAAACTTTAAGCTTTTAAAAGGTAATATTTATAAGATTAAAAGGCCATGTTTTTAAATTATATTTTGGGGTGGGTGGGTGGAGGGGACAGGGTCTCACTATGGAGTTGTCTAGAACTCATGTAGATCAGGCTGGCCTCGAACTCATAGAAATCCTCCTGCCTCTGACTCCAGAGTGCTGACTTTAAAGGCAGGTACCACCACACCCAGCCTATTTGTGGGACTAAAGTCCAATTCCCAGCACCCACTCGGAGGCTCACCACCTTCTCACACTCCAGACATGTGTTCCGTGCACACATACATATGTACACAAAACACTCGTACACGTGCAATAAAAATTAATTTAAAAATCTTCACTTGCTATTGGTGGGGCGTGGTGGAGGAGGCATGACCTAGTGCATAGTTGTCAGAGGACAACTTCCAGGAGCCTGTCCTTTCATCCCACCATGACTCTGGGAACTAAACTCAAGTAGTCAGGCTTGTGTGGCAAATGTTTTTACCTACTAAGCCATCTGATTCCTCCTCCTCCTCCTCCTCCTCCTCCTCCTCCCCCCCCCCCTCCCCCCCCCCCCCCCCCCCCCCCCCCCCTCCTCCTCCTCCTCCTCCTCCTCCTCCTCCTCCTCCTCCTCCTCCTCCTCCTTCTCTGTGGAGCATTGGCTATCCTGGACTCACTTTGCAGACCAGGCTGGCCTCGAACTCACAGAGATCTGCCTGCCCCTGCCTTCTGAGTGCAGGGATTAAAGATGTATACCACCATGGCCGGCCTCACAGCTTCTTAAAAAGAAATATTTCTGAGAAGCAAACATGCAGATGCCCCCCTGTCCTTGGAGCAGATGTCACATTACTGTGGTATATCTTATGTGCCAGCGTAGGATGTCCTCGAGTCTTGCAGGGGCTGCTGGTCTCTGGACATCTGTTCACTCAGTGTGTGCTTCCGGCAGGTTGGCTTCTTCAAACGGAACCTGAAGGAGAAGATGGAAGCTGATGGAGGTGTTCCAAATGGAAGGCTTAGTGAAGACACCAACCCCCTGGCAGTATCTGAGGAAGAGACCAAAAATCTGGGGTGTCTAGAGCCCCTTCAGGACAGTGAACAGAACTAAGGCTTAGGCCTGATACATTGACGGCCCAGGTGCTAACCAGCTTCAGGCGCATGTCACTCTCTCCTTGTCTTGTGGCTGTTCCTGGATCTCAGTTTCCCTGTCTTGCACGTAGAGCTCATTCCTACAGTATCTACAGGGCCTTGGTAAGTCGGCTGAGGGAGGCCAGGAGGGCCGTCGGTGAAGCCTGGCTTCTGCTAGCCTTCCCTGTCGTCCCCAACAAGAGAATCTTTGACGTAAACTTGGAGAAACTGTCATCTTAGGACCCAGTAATGCTCCAGCCCTCCCAACTGCCCTTGGCAGTCCCAGCCTTCCGGATCCACCCAACACTTTCTCCAGCCTGGAGTCTAGCCCGGACTCTGCCACCAGACAGCAAATCCCACCTGTGTCACCGCGTCGCTACTGCAGATGCCCTCTTCTTGAGTCAAAGACAGCATTCTTTGAGGAGCCTCAGAAGGCCTTAGAGAGTCAGGCCCCAGTGGCCTTCCCAGCCTCCTCAGGAGCTGGCCACCCCTCCTCTCTCCTGCCTCTCCTTCCCAGGCTGCAGGCACTTCGGCCTTTCTCAGAGTCATTCCCCTTCCTGTGTTGCAGCACCCGATCTGACGTTCTCTTCCCCCTGGAACATTTCTGCCTCCTCCTGTCCTGGCTGAGGGACAGCCTGTTCTCGACTCTGTCTGCTGGGTTGTGTTTGTTCTCTGTCTGATGGTTTATTTGATTTCTACCTCTTGGTGAGCTCCTCGGGGTTACGGAATGTTTCCTGTTCACCTTGGGAATCTCTGGTGACATCACAGGGTAGGGAGGGTCATAGCAGGTGCTTGATACAGTTTCATTGACTTGATGACGGGGGCAGCGGTAAGGTAGAGAGATGGCACGGATGAGCCGCTGGCATTGCATCTTTCAAGGCTCTGCCCTGCCAGGCTCCATCACACCCTGCTCAGCCCCCCAACCCCAGCTCCCACTCAGGAACCCCAATACAAAGCGCACGTGTAGTAGTTTGAATGAGAAATGCCCCACATAGGTGCAGGCATCTGCAAACTTCATCCCCGTTGGCCGCTTGGAGAGGTTGCGGGGAGGCGCAGCCGTGCTTGACGAAGGGGAAAGGGTTTGTGAGAGTTTTACAACTTGCTCCGCCTGCAGCTCCCTCCGAGCTTCATGCCTGCCGTCGATGTGATCTCCCAGCTTTCTGCACTGTTGCTGCTGCTGCCTGCTGTGCGTCTCTGCCTTCTGGACCCGTGAGACCAGACTTCCTCCCATAAGTTGCCTTGAGTTCTTTTCTGAGACTGACACTCCACCAAGGACCGTGTATGGATATAACCTAGAACCTCTGCTCGGATGAAGCCCGTGGTAGCTCAGTAACCAATTGGTTTCCCATAGTGAGGGGAACAGGGATATTTCTGACAGGAACTCAATGGCAGGCTCTTTGACCTCCCCATCCCCCAAGGGAGGAGCAGTCCTGTTAGGCCACAGAGGAGGACTTTGCAGCCAGTCCTGAAGATACCTGATAAAACAGGGTCAGATGAAAGGGGAGGAGGTCCTCCCCATCAGTGGACTTGGAAAGGGGCAGGGAAGAAATGAGGGAGGGAGGGTGGGATTGGGAGGGAATGAGGGAGCGGGATACAGCTGGGATACAGAGTTAATAAAATGTAACTAATAAAAAAAGAAAGTTGCCTTGAGTGTGATGGCAGCAGCAGCAAAGTTAACTGGCACATACCTGCCTCTGTTTAGCCCGTAAGTACGGAATTCTGTCCAAGCCTGATGGTTTCTTGCTAGAGCGGTGTTTCGGCCTGGCTCAGCTAAGCGAATATATTCCCCTCAAATGTTTTACCGAGTAGAACCAAAATAATCAGCCCTGTTTCTCCTGTAAGGCAAGGCCTCGCTGTGTAGCTGTGGCTGTCTTGGAATTGCTATATAGACAAGGCTAGTCCAGAACTCACAGAGACCCACCTGCCTCTGCCTGCCAAGGGCTGAGATTAAAGATGTGTTCCATGGATGTGGAAGAGCTGGCCCCGGCCCACACCACTGACGCACGGCGGGTGCCGGTGGTGGCATGAGTGCCAGGGAGCTGGCCCTGCACCTCGCTGGCAGCAGCTCAGCTCTCCTCAGTTAATGGCTTCTGGTGCAGATACAGGAGGAGAGAGATTCTTTCTCCTGGGGAAGGGGGTAGCCACTAGGAATTTGACCATGCTCCAATGAGTATGGACAACGCAAAATGGGCTTGCTTTTTCTTTTTTATGGGGAAGGGGGAGGTCACGGAGGAGGAGAGAGCAGACATGGGAACACTGGGATGCATGATGTGAGATTCTAAAGTAATCAGTTAAAAACAATGTTTGCCTCTACGCCCAGCACTTTAAGGCCCTTTGAAATTGTTCTCCTCTCCACCATTCCACCAGCACATTGCTTCCTCTTCACGGGGCCCGTCGTGCTGCTTCCAGGCAGCCTTCCCTCCCCTGTGAGGCCCTGAAGGAGGCAAACAATCTCACTGCTACGCTACCAACAACTGGCCCTCACCAGGATCGGTACAAAGGAGGCATTCAGCAAGCCTCGAATTCAGCGGCCCTCAGATGTTTTGATCTCGGAAACCCTTTATACTCTCTCTGAAGAGAGCTGGGCAGTGGCGGTGCACTCCTTAAATTCCAGCACCCAGGAGGCAGAAGAAGAAGGATCTCTGAGTTCAAGGCCGGCCTGGTCTACAGAGCGATTTCCAGGATAGTCAAGGCTACACAGAGGAACCCTGTCTTGGGGGAAAAAAAATAGCTTAATTGCTGCTCAGCAGAGAGCACAGTGTTCCCAACAGAGGGTCCCAGCACCCCCATCAGGCAGTTCACAACTCACAAATCCAGCTTCGGAGGATCCAACATGCCTGGCCTCGGGGCACCCACGCTCACACACACATACCCAGAGACATCCGAGGATCCCCCAAAAGCCTATGTGACACGGTTTAGATCTAGATATTTATTAAGTCAGGAGTTAAATGGAAATAAGGTAATATAGCACCTCTGTGCTGGCTAGTCTGATGTCCACCTGACCCAAGCTACAGTCACTCTGGAAGGAGAAATTTCTCCTACCAGGTTGGCCTGTGAGCAAGCCTCGGGTGCACTTTCCGGATTAATGATTGGTGTGGGTGAGCCTAGATCACTGTGGGCAGTGCCAGCCCTGGACTTGCAGTCTTGGCTGCTTTAAGAAAGCAACTAAGCAAGCCAGAGGGAGCAAGCCAGGAAGCAGTACTCCCCTGTGGTCTCTACATCAGCTCCTGCCTTGAGTTCCTGCCCTGGCCTTCCCGGACGATGGACTACAAACTGTGAAGTGAAATAGACCCTCTCCTCCCCAGGCTGGTCGTGGTGTTTTATCACAGCAATAGAAACCTTACCTGTGACAACCCCCAACCCCTCATTTTTGTGAGCTATTGGAATAATGACATGCCAGCACATGTCACGTGGGCCCAAGACAAGCGTTCACTTGAGAGGAAGGGAGTATGAAGAGGGCAAAGGAGAGTGTCGTGCCGTGGTGCGTGCCCGTAATCCCAGCAGCGAGGAAGACCGAGGCAGGAGGGCCAAGTTCAAGTCCTGCCTCTTCTGCACAGAAAGTCCCTTGGGGGTGGATACGGTGGTCCGTTCCTCTAATCTCAGCACTCAGGAGACAGAGGCAGGCAGGTCTCTGTGGGTTTGGGGTCAGCCTGGTCTACATAGTAAGTTCCAAGCCAGCCAGGACTGCAGAATGAAACCCCATCTTAAAAAAAAAAAAAAAAAGTTGCACGCAGTGCTGTCCGAGTCAAACCAGACAGCTGCAAACCTCTTAGAATGTTTATCACTGTTGCTCGCCTGTTCATGCCAGCAGGATCAAACAGCAACCATTTCCCTGTGTAGGACGTGCACCCCAGGACAGCACGGGGGACCTTTAATCGTGCTGAAGTAGCTGGACCCAGTGCCGGAGCTAGAGTTCTCAGAGTCCTTTCATGACCTTGTGGTGGACTCTTGGGAAATGTGCTCTGACTGGGTTGCTCTTCTCCAGACTCTGGCGTTCCCGGGGAGCTGTGTGAAAGAAAGAGGCGGAGTCCGAACAGCTCCGTCCCCACACTCATTTGTCTGGTCTATTTTTAGATACAGTCTGACCTCTGTCCTCAGGTTTCTGCTACTTCAACCAAGCACAAGTTAAAAGTGTCCCGGACCCTGGGGGTGTGGCTGGTGGGAGGGTGAGTGGCACTGGGAGGCCCCGGGGCTTGATCTTCAGCACCTCTAAACGTGTGCTTTTGTACTGAATGTGTATCAAATTTCTCTTCTGATCCTTATTCCTCAGTGTAGCAAAACAGTGACGTAGCATTTATGCTACACCTGTTCTTAGAAGAATGTAGAAGTGAGCTAAAGTGTGAGGGTGGAGTTGGGATGGGACTTGGGGGCAGAGCACTTGTCTGGCTTACAAAAGGCATTGGGTTCCGTATAATACGCCCCTTTTCATGAGGGACTTGTGCATCCTGTGATTTTGCTGTCGGAGAGTGGCTCACTCCCAACCCCAGACACCAAGAGACAGATATTGTGAAGGACTATTCTCGAGCCACTTCTTCTCCAACAAGCGCCCCTCCCCCCACACTTGGCCTGTGCGCCCTAGCTTTCAAGAGCCTACAAGCATGTTTGGAGGCCGAATTTAAAATCTGTTCCAGGGGGCTGGGAGGATGGATCAGTGGCTAAGAACACTTGCTGCTCTTGCCGAGGACCCGAGTTCTGCTCTCAGAGCACCCATGGTGGCTGTACAAGCACCTGTGACAGTTCCAGAGGATCCAAGGTCCTCTTCTAGGCCCCCTCAGGTACCAGGCACACACGTGGGCCACATGCACGAAGGGAGAATCTCAGACACGTAAAAATAAGAACAAAATATTGTTAAGAACAATACATAAACCGGGCGAGTGGAGCACTCCTTTAATCCCAGCACTCAGGGAGGCAGAGGCAGGTGGATCACTGCTGCAGGATATTTGATCCCATTTCAAACTCCAATATTATGAACTGTAAAACCCTGGTTTGTTGTTGTTGTTTTCTGCAGTTGAGCCTTGTTGCACACCTTTAATCCAAGAGCTTTCTGTGCACAGAATTTAATAACGTTAACCCTAGGTCAAGAGGCAGAGCAAGAAACCAGCTGACAGGGATTAAAGAGTAGGAGAGACTTTGAGTTGAGGGGTATTTAAGACAGTCTGTGGAAGTAGGAGGAGCTTTTTTACCTTAGGCTCTGGCTTTTGCTTAGGCTTCAGCTCCTCAGCTCCCTGGCTTTTTGGGCTTTGAGCTAGTAAGCCTTTGGCCCTGGGTTTTTTGGCCTTTTTCTGCTGGGCTGTCAGTTGAGCTAGTGAGCCTTTTGGGTTTTTTCTATCCGGACCTGAGCTGAGAAGGAAAGTTAGCTGGGTGCTTTCTCTGCCTCTCTGAACTAGCAGGTTTTCACCCCAGCATCTGGCTCCTGACTCTTTATTGGTAAAACAGACGGTTGGGATTTTCCTGCCTTTTTTTTTTTTTTTAATTCTAAGGACAAATTTCACTTCTACAAAAAAAAGGCAGTCGAAACAATACAAAACACCTTGAAAGGACATTATTGAGTTAGCTTCAAGTGAAGCTTGACTTCCAGAGCTTGGCTTTGGGAAGGCTCTGAGTCTGGAGGGAGGGGAAGGCCCTCCTGTTCCTGGGCTGCACCGGCAGCTGCTCTAAGGAAGAGGCAGCTGGTTACAAAGCAGAGGTTACCAAGGCTGAGGTAAACCATGCCAAGGGAGACAGTGGTGGCCTGCTGCGCTGAGGAGAGGGAGCCCCGTGGCACGTCCTCACAGAGCTCGGTGGTGAAGCCTGAAATTTCGAAAGGATATTCTGGCTTTTGCTTTGCCTGCGATGGGCCTACCACAGCTTCGGGGAGCCTTTCTGGAGAGGAACCCATCACACAGGAGCATGGTCTTCTCTGCTGGCAGACCCTCCCTGCAAGGTCACCACTAACCTGGTTCTGCAGAGTTCCTGCAGACACCAGCAGAGCCCGACCCGGGATACGCTCTGTGGGGTCTGCCCATTGAGTCTATTTCTGTGGAAACACTTCGCTAAAATTTTATGTAAAAGCAGCTTCCCTTTGCATGGGCTTTTTTTTTTTTTTTGGGGGGGGGAGGTTGTTGATATTGTTTTATGATTTTTAAAAGGACATTACTAAGCTGGCATGAGGAGGACTTGAGCCATTCTCCGAAGACACTGTGGCACAGAAGAGCTGCCGTTGCTGCTGCCTCTGTCCGGGAAATGGGGCCTTGGTCTCTGGAAGTGGGAATTTAAAGGGGTGAGAGGGAAAGTGGGGAACCACAACATTTTTTTTAACCTTCTGGGCTAACTGCAACTTTGAGTAAATTTGGGCAAGAAAGACCATTCTTTTGAAGTAGATGAAAGCAGTGATATTTAAAACAAAGCAAGCCGAACTAGGACATCTGAATTTTTAAATCCTTCTTTACAGATTACCTGGACCACTTTTGATTAAGAAAACTGTAGGAAATTAGTAACTGCCACAGGCAGACGCCAGGTGGTGGCACGTATCAATATTCCACAGAGCCCTGCTGGACTCACTCATGGCCAACTTTGGTCCACAGGTCATTTTTCCCCATATTTCTTTGTGAACTCTTAAGCATTTTTGCAGGATTTTTTATGGCCCTTAGAGTATTCTTCAGCTAGGTCACCCAGAATGGGTGCTCGGGGGTCGTTCACCAGTGCTGTGAGGGACTGGATTAAGGAACATTAAGCCTTTGCCAAGTCAAGAAATCAGCTTCCTCAACCTGGATGTTATAGAAGTTTTTCATTCCAAGTTTGCAGATCTCTTCAAGCCCCTTCATCAGCCTCCTGCTGGCCACCATCTTGGATCTGCTGCTGCTTCTTTCCCAAAATACCGAGGTTTTCCTTCTTTTGAACAAAAGATCACTGTGAGTTCAAGGCCAGCCTGGTCTATAAAGCAAGTCCAGGACAGCCAAGGCTACACAGAGAAACTCTGTCTTGAAAAAACTAACCAAACAAACAAGCAAAAAATATACATCTAACTCATTTTAAACAGAAAAATAAAATTTAAAAATCACTCCAGGAGCCAGAAAAATGTCCAAAAGGTAAAAGTGTGTTGTTATAATTCCTTCCCAGGATATAAACAACATCCATCCTTCCCCCTCCAAAGGTCCCAGCCACAAACTGAGGCACTATTTCAGCAGAGTTCACTCTGGAGGATGAATGAGTTTACTGGACACACTTGCAGAGCATGGGTGATGGTTGCTTGCTTGCGGGAATGCGGGCGCTCCCCCTAGACAGAGGCTTCATAGGAAAGTCAGAACCCAGCGGGGACAACAGCTTTCCCGTAGAAGTATGCACAGAAGGTCGCCGGCCCCAGACCTTCCCAGTCTCTATGCGCTAGCCTCTCTCTGAAGTCACGTGCAGTTAGGACACAACTATATACAACAGGTGGTGTCGAGCAGCTGGATACCCAGGTGAGGGACCCCTGGCTCCCCTGCCCCTCTCTGAGGGCTGAAAACCGTCAAGCCCAGCTGGGATGCTTCTTTGAAAGTGGGTTCTGCTGAACTCCTGAAGACAGAGTCTGCTTGACTCAGGGCATAATCATGGAGGCACCTACTACCAAGCCCGGAAGCCTGAGTTTCCTTGGATCCCAAGGGTGGAGGGAGAGGACAGACACCGGCGAGAGGTCCTCTGACCTCCACAAGTGAGCTGCAAGCCATGTCATGTCTGTTGGAGGAATCCACCAGAGAAGACTGCTCGGACATCGGTTTAAGCCGATAGAAAGTTTTTGTTAGTGAGCCGGTGACTATGGTGGGTGTTCAGGATCCCAGTGTAGGCCCGAGCCTTTCTCAGGGTGTGCTTCTAAGCACAAGAACCATGTCCTGGGTTGCTGTACTTCAGTTAGCAAGAACAGTTAGCCAGAAGCACAACTACAGAAGCCAAAATAGTACGTTTAGAGACTTTCCCAGGAGTACAGGCTTTGATGGATTAGGCCTTTGTTTTTGTTTTGGCAGGCTGTCTACTTGCATGGTTTTACAGCCTGAATGGTACTTCCATCATGGAGTCAGTTGTGCTAAGGTTTGGAGCCCTGTTACATGTACATAATAGTCTTATACAACCGTGCAAAATAAATAATGGATTAAAAAATAAAAACCTAGGAGATGAAGAGAAGGCTCAGTGGTCAAGAACACTTGTTGCATTAACTCAATAGGAAAAAAAAAATATTTGGCTGAGGAAAAAAGAAATGACCCATCTTCAGTTCTCGGCACCCATCTGTAATTTCAGTTCCAGAGAAGCCAACGCCCTCTTCTGGCACCAGGAACATTCTTATTATACATACAAATGTGCGGGCAAACTCATACACATAAAAAAATCTATAAAAACAAAATTTGACTCCGAGCAAGACACAGAGCTCAGCCTGTACCCCCAGCACTTGGGAAGCAAAGACAAGAGGACTTCCACAAGTTCAAGGTCAACCTAGATCATATAGTGAATCCCAGGCTAGCCTGTGCTATAGAGAGTAAAACCCTGTCTCAAAAAAAAAATTATTTTTATTTACTTTTTTATTACAGATTTTTTTTTTCTATGTAGCCCTGGCTGTCCTGGAACACAGTCTGTAGTCCAGGCTGGCCTCATATGCAGAGATTTGACTGTTAATCGTGTGTACCACCAGAAAATATGCATTTTTCCCCAGGACACAGAGGCTGGATAGTCTCTGTGAAGTTGAGGTTGGCCGGGCCTACACTGGGAATCCCAGGTTAAAGAGGACTCCATAGTAAGACTATCTCAAAAAATTAATTAAAAATTAAATATTTTAGCCGGGTGGTAGTGGTGCACAACTTTAATCCCAGCACTTGGGAGGCAGAGGCAGGTGATTTCTCAGTTTGAGGCCAGCCTGGTCTACAGAGTGAGTTCCAGAACAGCCAGGACTACACAGAGAAATCCATCCTGTCTGGAAAACAAACAAACAAACAAACAAACAAACAAAAATATTTGAAACTAAAGATGTAGCTCAGTGCTAGGATACTTGCCTAATAAATGCAAGGTCCCGGTCTCAAGCTCCAGTACTGTGATAAACCCAAGTATAAAACAAAATGATAGAATTGAATGTTTAAAAGCCAGGTATGAAGCCAGGCATAGTGACACACGCCTTTCATTTGGAGACAGAGGTGGGCGGACCTCTGTGAGTTTGAGGCCAGCCTGGTCAACAACATAGAGTGTACCAGGTCAGCTGGGGATACTGTCCCAGAGTAAAATAAAAGGCCAGGTATGACGTCTTTGGCTATAGCTCCTTTTACAGTAGAGTGCTAAAGGTCTCAGTAACTGCCAATCCAAGCATTTAAGCAGGTACTATTCTAAGTGGCACTCCTCTGCCTGGGGTTGACCCCTAGCCTTATATATAAGCTGGGTGTGCACTGCCCGCCTGTCCTCTGAACACTCCGGAGACTTCAACTGTAACGCTTTGAGTTTGAGACCAGCCTGAGTTATATGGGGACATACCATTTCAGAAGGAGAAAGGGGAGAAGTAGGGAAAGTGGGGAGGGAGAAAGGGTGGGACGTCAGCCGTGTCAGCTACAGCAGTGGTTGATTAAGTCCAAAAAGGCCTCTCAATTACTGTAAGATTTCACTTGAACAACCGTGTTCTACTTTTAAGGTACTGTTAATTTTGAAAACCAGGCAAACAGAACCGACCCCTGTGGGCCCTTCCAGCATTGCAGTTCAGGACAACCTGGGTGGAAATGCCTTAGAAGCTATTTGCTCTTTATGAGTCTGAAGGCCCCAGGATGGGAGTGACACCAGGACCCAAAGACCAAAGACACTCCAATGTGCCCACGTGGCCAAGCTCCAGGCCGAGGTGAGGCCAGGTGATGTGTATGAACGATCTGGTCTTGGCCAGCCATTCGACAACCCTGCCCTCTGTGCTGCCTGATTCCTCTTCTGTGAAACAGGAGCAAATCTTCAGGGGGCTCCATCAAGGCCTCCCAGAACGTCCGCATTGTCTCAAGATGTGTCCCCAAATATTCCCCAGGGTGTGGCCTGCCCTCCTCTGCTAAGGTCACAGAGTTCCATCAGAATCTCCCAGGCTCACTGATCAGTCCCCGAGTCTGGCACTGGGTGGAAAAGCAAGGTAGGAGCAAGGTGGCCCCATCAGCCAACAGGACTCCAGAGAGAGCTGAGCAACCAAGCCCAGCTGCTCGGGCACTGGGGTAAAGGGGCTGGAGGGTTCCTTAATCTTGGTCCAACAGGTACCCTCTTTGGGTGGAGCTGAAAGCTAGCCTGCTCTCTAGGCAAGAGCCTAGGGAAAAGCTCTACTGGAGGTGGTCAGAGTGCCAGCTCGGGGTGTAAGAACGGGTTAGGCCAAGGTTCGTCGAGAACAGCTGTTCCTAGGTATGAGCACACAGGTGTTTTCTGAGGTAAGCGCAGACCCTCTGTTTAGGAAGAGTTGAGGACTGCCTTTTTCACCTCCTGCAACCAGTCTCTTTGAGTCTGTATGGCATGCAAAGGCATGGGACACGAACTCCGGTGTCCATGAGCAAATACACCATGCCCTGGACTTCCAATGCTACGATCTCACTGAACCACCAATCACACAAGCACTTCCGGGGCAAGACCCTGGCACCACCCCGGCGGCTTCAGTTCTGACTGGCATCTCCCACTGCTCAGGGAACTGTCTACTCACACATAAGGACAGGTCTCTTACCACATAAAGGTTTTATTGAACTCAAACGGCTCCAAAGCCTGTGGAAGACAAGGCGGGACGGGGTTTGCTCTGAGAGGCCCAGGCCCGACCCTTGGGCCTCGCTCCCCACCTACCTACCCTTTGCCCTCTTCTGGTTTCACTAGGGTCTCAGCAGCTACCAACCTAAGCTAGCCTACTCTAACGGACACTCCCCTGCCCTCCCCCCTCCCCGTCTAGTACTTTGCCAGAACAGACTCCCCCGGCCGAAGAGCACCCTGCTGCCGACATGGGCAACGCGGATCTCTCCCTCCCGGGGCCGCCCGTCTGGCCTCCCTCCACAGCCCACGTCTCATACTTCTCGAGGGCATGTGACTTCCGGCACGCTGGCCCATCTTCTAGAACGTTCCGCCCTTCCGCTCTCCTCCCCGGCGGTTTCTCGGCCCCGCCCCCCTCCCCGGCCCGTCAGCGGCGGCCGGCCGCGTGGGTCCGCTGGTGGCGGATGAGGTCGGAGCTCTGGGAGAAGGCCTTCCCGCAGTCGTCGCACTTGTAGGGCCGCTCGCCGCTGTGCACGCGGTGGTGCTGCAGCAGCGTGGAGGAGCGGCAGAAGCCCTTGCCGCACACGGCGCAGCGGTACGGCCTCTCGCCCGTGTGCGAGCGCTGGTGCTGGATGAGCGTGGACGAGCGGTTGAAGGTCTTGCCGCAGTCGGGGCAGCTGTAGGTGCGCCCGGGCAGGTGGGTGCGGGCGTGGATGGCCAGGACCGAGCTCTGGCCGAAGCGCTTGCCGCACTCGGGGCACTTGAAGGGCTTCTCGCGGGCGTGGCTGCGGGCGTGGGGGATGAGCGCCGAGCGCTGCGAGAAGCTCTTGCCGCAGATGCCGCAGCTGAAGGGGCGCTGCCCGGTGTGCACCCTTTGGTGGCTGCGCAGGGACGAGTTCTGGCTGTAGCACTTGCCACACTCGGGGCAGCTGTAGGGCCGCTCGTGGCTGTGGGTGCGCTGGTGCCGCAGGAGGTAGGAGCTGTCGCCGAAGGCCTTCCCACAGTGTGGGCACTTGTAGGGCTTCTGGCCGGAGTGCGTGCGCTGGTGGCGGAGCAGGTAGGAGCTGTCGGCGAAGGCCTTGCCGCAGCGGGGGCACTTGTAGGGCCGCTCGCCGGTGTGCGTGCGCTGGTGCTTGATGAGGTCGGAGCTCTGCGAGAAGGCCTTGCTGCACGCCTCGCACTTGTAGGGCCGCTCGCCCGTGTGGATGCGCTGGTGCTGGATGAGGGTGGAGCCCCGCCCGAAGCTCTTGCCGCAGATGCCGCAGATGTTAGGCCGGGGGCCCTGCCCGCCCCTGGCCCGGCCGCCCCTGCGGCCCGGGCCGCGGAGGCTCCCTGTCAGATTCAGGGGATTCTGGAGCATCTCAAACTGGGGCGTCGCCAGCAGGGGCCCCGCAGGCATATCAAATGGTGCCCCTAGAGGCAGTGCTTCTGTGGGTTGCTCCCCAAACCCCTGAGGAAAGGAGTCCAGGGGGTGAACTCCTAGGGGGAGGCTTAATGGGTTCTTTTCCTCGGGGTTCAGAAGCATCTCTGCACCTTCCTCGAATTTGGAACTTTGAGTTTTAAAATCAGGGCTAGGGGTTTTGAACTCGGGATTCTGAACTTCATCTCCAGAGTTCTGCGGTTCATACCCGGGACTCTGGGATTCATACCCTGGGCTTTGAGATTCGAATTCGGGGCTCTTCGAACCATAGCCAGGACTTTTGGGCTCATACCTAGGACTCCCGGGTTCATAGCCAGGACTCTTGGGATCATAGCCAGGGCTTTGGGGCTCATACCTAGGACTCTGGGATTCAAACCCGGGGCTCTGAGGATCTGATTCAGGGCTTCTGGGTGCAAACTCAGGGCTTGGGGGCACAAACCCAGGGCTTCGGGTCTCAAACCCTGGGCTTTCAGGCTCAAACCTGGGGCTCTGGGATTCAAACTCTGGGCTTTGTGGCTCAAGCCCAAAAGGTATTTCTTCAACTTCATAGTCCCCATTGCCTTCTTGTTGAGAAATTTCCTCTTCATTCTCACTTGTGTTGCCTGCAGGATCAGAGAATTACCGAAAATCCAGATTGACTGGGGGGGTCTGGAAGGTCATCTGGTCCATTAATTGTCCCAAACTCCTCACCCCTTACTCCCCAAGCAGGGTCGCTGGCCCTACAACAAGGTGCTGAAATGTACCACCTCCTCTCCAAAGACCCAGGACACCCAGTCTCCACCCCCAACCCCACTCCCAAGTGTCTAAGCTTCTGGCTTTATTTTCCCACCACCACCACAGGCCACAGCCCGGTGTCCTGGCACACTCCTAGGAGGCGCGGCCCTTCCCTCACCTTTGAGAGACCCTTCGGGGCTGCCCACTTCGTCAGGACCGTGCGCATCCCCGGGCTCGAGGCCCCACGACGACGCCTCCCGCTCCATCCCTGCCAGCTCCCAGTGCGGCGGCGGTGGAGATGGCGGACGATCCTGCGACCCGGATCGAGGGCCCGGAGCCCCGAGCCCTCGCCACCCGCCGCCCGTCCGGAGCTTGCCCAGGAGCCCGGGCGGCCTGGCTCGGGCCGCGAAGGCCGGACGTCTTGACCCTGGGCCCCTCCGGCCCCGCCCCTGGCCGCGGCCCCGCCCCCTCCCGAGGTCCCCGACGGTCCCGCGGCCCTCACCGGCCCTCGCGCGCCGCGGCCCCGGAGGGGAGGGCCCGGTCGACTCCTCCGGCCGTCCCCAGTCACTACTCCCAGCCCGAGCCCCTAGCCTCAGCCCCGGGCCCCGGCTCGGCTACTGATCTCCCGCCCCCTCCCCTCCGCCCGCCCCGTACAGGAAGTGTCCGTCCCTGGCCAGTTCCCCCCGCTGGCTTGCGCCGCGGCCTCTCTAGGAGCGGCTGGAGGTGGAAACTCGTTGGCATTAGCCCGGGACAGGCTCTCCGGGGCCTGGGGGGTGGGGGCGACACGACGCCCCGGGGCCGGCGGGGGGGCCGGGGGCGCCCTGCGTGTCCGTGTCGCGAGGCTAGGCCTATCCAGGGGCCTCTCCGCTGATCTCTCGGACCGCGTGCCGGTCCCCGAGAGCGGCCGAGGGCGAGGCCAAGGTCAGCGGGGAGGAGGAGGGACGCTTCCCGGCGCCGGCGGGGGAGGCGGCTCCCTCTCTCGGCCTCGGGGCTCGGTCTCTCGGGCCGGCGCGGGGAGCCTGGACGGACGCCCGATGGGCCGCATCCCCAGGCTCCGGGAACCAGGCCGCCCCCGCCCTCCGAACCACAGCGGTGACCCCGGCGCCCACCACCCCGTCCGGCGCCCCCCCCCCGCCCCGCGCGCCGGGCCCCGCGCCAGCGCTACCGCCCCGCCTCCGCGCCGCACACGATTGGGCGGCGCTGGCTTTCCCGCCGCCTCTCCCCATCGCCGAGGGCCGCGGGTCGCCGCGGGTCCCGGGCTCCCCGAGCCGAGCGCGCTCCGGCCGGTCCCACTCTGTCTCCCCGAAACGGCAGCGGGAGGGAGGGACGCCTCCCCGCCAGCTCGGCCTGCGCTCTCACAAACTTCCCCCCCCGCGCCATTTGCCCTCAATGCAAGCCCAGGGCTCTCAGGCTAGACAGCCTTGCTGCTCCGCTCCCCTCGGCATCTCTCCCTCCGCACGCAGGTTTTACAGGGGCCGAGGGGCGAGCGTTTAACGTCTCCCCTTCCACAATCCGGTGTTTAATCGCTGGTTTTTGATTTTTTTTTTTTTCTTTTCCACAAGCATGCAGGATTGTTCGGAGGAGAGAGTGACAGCGAAGAGTTCCAGAAGGGACCCCGACGGAAAGGATTCGACAGAAAGGCATCTACAAACTAACTCTCCAGCCCTGCCTGGCTTGCATGAAGGCTTGTAGAGGAAGGGAGGTGTCAAGTCCAAAGGAAACTCCAGTTCCCCAGACCACAAAAGGCAGTCCACATATCCAGAAATACTCAACATGGGCTATGGGAGGATTTCTGGCAGTTAGATAAAAAGCCAACCAGGAAGTTTGTGAATCTGGCTCTTCTCTACCAAAAGGAGGCATTTCTCTTACTCTGCCAGAAGGGACATATGGCTACCTGTGGCGCCCATCAGCATTATCAAAGCTCTGGTATCACAATTCGCCTCCATCCTAAACTCCGTTCATCTCATTGGGTTCCTTCTCCCAGCTACTCATTCTTCTATTGACCCTCCTTATGCGGTCGCTCTCGCTCTCGTTCTGTCGCTCTCTTGCTCTCTCCTTCCTCTCTTTCCTCCTCGTATCCCCTGTCTCTCCTACCCCTATCTCCTTCTCACCACCTTCTCTCTCTTTTCCTGACTATGGTTTCTTTACTCTCTATCCCCTGCTACTCTTGGAGCTAGCCCTGACCCTGTCCAGTCTGCTGGCCATGTTCACTTTCTCCCTCTGCTCTGGATGTCTCTGCCGGTTTTCTCTCTCCTGTCAACAATAAAAACTTCCCCTTAGCCATACCATACATCAGTCATACCATCAGTTTATATAGTAGGGAGTCAGAAAACACTGCCTGGGTACAGGTTCCAATACTGAAGTGCATGCGTGTGAGTGTGTGTGTGTGTGTAATCTAAAAACAAGTAATTATTTTCTGTAAGGGACCCGAGCTAATAGTGTGTTTAGATCAAAGGGTTTTGTGAGACCATTCTCCTACTGACTCCAAAGGGTAGCTTCAAGTAGAGTTCGGCTTCTTTGGGCCATGAACATTTTTGTGTGTCCTCTTCCTAGAAAGACATGCACATGTTACATAAGCTTTGGGTAGGGTCTATTGGAATGCTGTGCCGCTCTCCAGGCCAGTGACGCTCTGTGGTAACCCTCTTCTTGGCTACTTTGCCTCTGTAACTGAACCTCAGAAGGTAGTAACAGACAAAAAAAATAAAATAAAAAGCCTCCCTTTGGTGGAGGAATTCACACCGAGGAATGAACTGAGAATGAAGTGCAGGTAGGCCTAGGGGTCTCGTGACCCAGTAGAGAACTGAGTAAATAATGGAAGGTTAGGCAACAGCAGGAAGTAGAGGATTTGGGTCAAGTTTCTGGGCCCTGGGCAAGCTTTGCCAACTTGAAAGCACTCTGAAATCTTCAGATAGTAAACATTGCACCTTGTAATCGACAAGCTGAAGGTAGCAGCTCCCTTGGCTTGAGTCTGACTGGGGAACTGGTTCCGCAAGCTGAGCTTCTGTGGGGCAGCACTGAGTGACAGGGAAAGGAGTCCGAGCCTGTTCTTGCTCCATGTCCTGTGATAAGGTGGCACGTGAACCAGTCACACACACACACACGCCACACACGTCCCACAAAAAGCTTAGGGCTTAGGGAGGTCTCAGCAGAGTCAGATTTGAAGGTTAGTGGGGTAGGCGTGGTCCTTACAATCCCTAAGCAGTGTATTTTCTCTAAGATTTTTTTTTTTTTTTTTTTTTTGGGTGTTTGTGTGTGTGCTGCTTTTGAAGTTTCTACAGGGAATGGAGCTAGTTGAACACTTGCCCAGCCTGTGTGAAGGCCAGGATTCAAGCCCAGCACCACAAACAAATCCACAAAACTTTTGTCAGGCAGTGGAGGCACACACCATTAACACCTTTAATCCCAGGAGAGGCAGGAGGATCTCTGTGAGTTCGAGGCCAGCCTAGTCTACATAGTGAGTCCAGGACAGCCAAAGCTACACAGAGAAACCCTGTCTTGGGAGAAAAAGAAAAAAAAAAAAAAAACCTGAGTGAATTTTTTAAAAAAGAAAGAAAAATGCTGAGGAGCTGGAGAGGTGAAAAGCCTGGCTGTTTTTACAAAGGACCTGAATTTGATTCCCAACGTGTGTGTGTGTGTGTGTGTGTGTGTGTGTGTGTGTAACAATTGTTTCTCCAGTTCCAGGGGATCTGATGCCCTTTTCTGGCCTTCAATGACACTGGGCATTCACACGGAGCACAGGTAGACACATAAGTAAACCCATATACACAGAGGTTAAAAGGTGCCGAGGACAGAAGCCTCCCTGAAACTCAGGGTTCGGAGGCAGGAGCACTCTGTCACCTGTTCTAGACTGGACTCTAATCGCAAAGGAACAATTTACAAGGCCCTAGGAAAGCATCCCCCAGAGCCTCAGAAAACAAAAGTTTCCCTTTAGCTTCCAAATCAATCCCAGGCTGGTCTTTGCTTTACCAACAGATTCACTCCAGTGTTCTCAGCAGACATTGACTAAGGACTATTTGGAACTCACAGGGTCTTTCCTTCCTTCCTTCTTTCTTTCCTCCTTCCTTTCTTTCTCTTTCTCTCTCTCCTTTCTCTCTTTCTTTCTCTCTCTGTCTCTTTCTCTTTTCTTTTCTTTTCTTTTCTTTTCTTTTCTTTCTTTGTCAGAGAGAACAGGGAAGGGGAGAGAAACCAAGGCAGAGAGGGCAAGAGAGGAGAGAGAGGTCACAGGGTTTTTTTTTACTGCTTTGAAACGGAGTCTCATGTATCCCAGACTCCAACTCATGTGGCTGATGATTATCTTAAACTTTTGATCCTCCTGCCTCTACCTTGCAAGTTATAAGTGCTGGGGCTCAAAGCCAGGGCTTCGTGAGGGCAAGCACTGTGTCAAATGAACTACATCTCAGGGCCTGTTTTATTTATTTTTTTAACATTTTTGGGGGCCACATGGGTATTTCATGGCACAGAGGGGAAAGTCAGAGAACAATTAAAATAGAGTTTAAAAGCACTGTGTGTGTGTGTGTGTGTGTGTGTGTGTGTGTGTGTGTGCGCGCGCGCGCGCGCGCACTCACAAAAAGCAGAATGCCAGATGCCATGGAGCTGGAGTCTTAGGCCTCAGTCATTTGCCCAATATGGGTTCTGGGAATCAAACTCCAGTCCTCTCGTAAAGCAAAAAGCACTCTGAAATATGAACAAATTACTTGATATAAAAGAAACATTTGAAGCTGAGTTGAAAATACTTTTGCATAGATAAAAGATGAATTTTAGCCCTTGAAAATTAGGAAAAATTAAAAAGCACAGAGTGTTAGGGAGAAAATGGGAGAAGGGATGACTAGAAAAAAGGGAACATAGAAATAACATAGGAATAATAGGAAAATGGGTAGATTATTGAATATGCCCTTATGGATCTTTGTATATTGATACAAAGTAAGTTATATTTATTACATAGGTATGACATTTGTATGTTCATACAAAATTAAGGTTATATTTGGTGACATTGGTATAGATCTTTGCATACTGATACAAAAGTAAGGTTATATTTTGGTTACAATATACTATGCATCGTTATTGTACTTATGTAATTCTTAAAAAAGGCAATGTGGGGCTGGATAGGTGGCTCAGAGGTTAAGAACACTAGCTGTTCTTCCAAAGGTCCTGAGTTCAAGTCCCAGCAACCACATGGTGGCTCATAACCATCTGTAGGAGGTCTGGCGCCCTCTTCTGGCATGCAGGCACATGTGCAGACAGTATAGTATATGAATAAAAAACAAAATTCAAAAAAATGCAACGTGATGTTCTAGTCCTTTTGAAAGTTATTATCACAAACTGTTTAGGATAGTTACGAAATGCAAACTAATAGTCAATCAAACTTGTGGTTTTGTTACGTACTAGTTTAGTTTATCATTGGTATTTTCTAAGTTAATCAGTATATAACTAAAAACCAAGCAATTTAGATATACTAGAGATAGATAGTCTTCAAAAACCTCGGAGATCTGTAGAATATGGCATTTAAAGATGTTTTTATTAATTGAAGACTTTTTTTTTTTTTTTACAATGAAACATGTCAGCTCCTGGCAGAACCTCCATTCCACTTGAAAAAACATTGAAGAATCTCTGTACGAGGTTTGCTTCATATGTGACAAGCTAGCCACTGGGCAAGAAAATGCCCTTGCTTCAACTGCAAACAGAATATTGGACAAATTGGATGCAGGAAAGTTGATTGCTAAGCTTTGCTAGGACAAGACAGGCAGTTCCTTCATAATTCCTGCTTCACAGAAAAGTCAATCAGCTATTCTGAGCCAGAAGGCTAAAGATGATGTTCCAATGTTATAGAGAAATCTTGGTTGACTGTCCAAGTGGTGAGAAATCTCTGTTATTTTTATAGTTCTGGAAGCTGCTTGCTCTGCACTTCCTGTTTATTCAGATAAAATTTATCCTTCTCAGGTCTCTGATGGGGTTGAAGACTAGACAGTTAATAGGCTTACAATTAAGCTTAGTAGTTTAGGATTTAAGAAAATGTTTTAGGTCTAAAAAGACGTTTTTTTTGATTGGTAATGCAAGTCATGATAGAAATTGAGGTAGATGCACAACTTTCAGGATAGATAGTAGAGTACTTTCTTTAAGGTTTCTAAATACATATGAACTAGACATTGTGAATGTAATTTTTACCTGATAGTATATAAGTTATTGATGTTAGAGAAAAAGTCTTTTATTTAGACAAAAGGGGGAAATGTTGTAGGATATTTGATCCCATTGTGAACCACGAAATTGTGAACTATAAAAACCTGTTTCTTGTTTGGTGCCTAACACACACCTTTAATACAAGAACTTTCTGTTTATTGCAAACAGGTGGTTATGGTGTGGCTCAGCCCTAACACACACCTTTAATACAAGAACTTTCTATACACAGGATTAAATAAAGGTAAGCCTAAATCAAGAGGTGGAGCAAGCAACCAGATGCCAGGGAGAAAACAGAAAGGAGGGGCATTAAGTTGAAAGATATTTAAGACAATGTGGAGGAGAAGGGGCTTTTCCTTTTGAGACATCAGCTCTGTTGACCTTAAATTTTCTGAAGAACAGAACAACAGCAGCTGAGAACACTGGATTATAGGGGAGAAACTGAGGAATTAAATTAATGTATATTCTATAAGGAGTGCTAACATCAGAATGGAAATTAGCAAATTTTGTTGTTGTGGTTGTTGGGAATGCAGATTTTCTCTTTATATTTCTACAGGAAATGAAAAGCTATGGATACTATCAAAACTAATGAAGCTCAGAGTTAAGGAGGGAAAAGTCTTTTGAAAACCTTGAAAGAAGGGGGAGATAGAAAGACCTGGAGAGGACAGGAGCTCCACAAGGAGAGCAACAGAACCAAAATATTTGGGCCCAAGAGTCTTTCTGAGACCAGTACTCCAACCATGGACCATGCATAGAGATAACCTAGAAGTCCTGCACAGATGTAGCCCATGGCAGCTCAGTATCCAAGTGGGTTCCCTAGTAAGGAGAACAGGGACTGTCTCTGACATGAACTCAGTGGCTAGTTCTTTGATCACCTCCCTTTAGGGGGGAGCAGGCTTGCCAAGCCACAGAGGAGGGGGAACATGGCAGGCAGTCCTGATGAGACCTGATTGGCTAGGATCAGATGGAAGGGGAGGAGGCCCTCCCCTATCAGTGGACTTGGAGAGGGGCATCGATAAGATGAGGGAGGGAGAGTGGGATTGGGAGGGAATGAAGGAAGGAACTACAGCTGGGATACAAAGTGAATAAACTGCAATTAATATAAAAAAAGAAAAAATTTAAAAAGAAAAGAAAACCTTGGCCACTGACACCCCCCCCCCCCCCAAAAAAAAAAAAAAAAAAAGAGCAGAGAGAGCCTGATCATCAACTGCCTTCCCTGCCAGCAAGAAAAGGCTGGACAAGAAACATTCAGCACCTACCAGTTGGCACTGGCAGGCTTATGAACAGGACACTGGTCTCCTGCAATACAGAGCTGTCCATAATGCAGACGCACAACAGGCCTGTGTTCAGGACTTTACGACAAACTATGGTGAATACCACGCACATCCTGCATGCCCACGTTGGTGCTGCAAGCCAAAGGTTCACAGAGCTGGGAGAAAGATTTAGAGACCTTGGTGAGGAACTCTAGCTCACAGGATGTTAAAAAAAAAAAAAAAAAGACAGTACAGGAATATAAAAGGTTCAGGAAATTGTACCCAAGTTTCAGGAAAAAGAAGCATCACTGTTAGGTTATCTCAGTTGTGGATGTGCTCCTGAGAGATCAACAGATCACATCAGACACCTGAGAACCCTGGAAAAGACGTTGAAAAGAATGGAGAAGCAGCTTCAAAACCACACAATTAGTAGCTAAAAGAAACGGGGAGAAATGTGGTTTATTTTGTGTGCCTGGCCCTTTAAAGGACTCTATGTCCTTCGGTATCAGTGCCTCTTGGACTTCTGGGAACAGGGGAGGATATAAAAAGCCAGCAGAAGCTGGGAAAGATTGCTGAGGACTGGAGTAGGCACAACTAGGGTCCAGAAGACTGAGGAGCAGGGTTGGAGAAGACAGTTGGTGCAGGAAGAAACGAGAGAAGAAAAGAGATTGAGCAGAGTGAAAACAGGAGACAGTTGAAAGTGAATTGGGTTACAGAGTGGAAAGACAGGTATGATGGCTGAGCCAGGAGAATCTGAGCTGAGCCCAGGAAGATACTGTTAGGAGACAGGGGCAGAACCCACAAATAAAATATTGTTTTTCCTGTCTCAGGTAGAAAGGTATCCTGGCACTCGGAAACCCAGGGACCACACAGCCCTGAGGTGGGGCAGTGTCCCCAGTGGCAGGGCATCCTAAGACACGGAAACCCAGGGACCACACAGCTCTGAGGTGGGGCAGTAATATAGGATTTCTTAGGGCGTGGAGCTTTTCAGAGCAGAGATTTGATTTCCAGACTGAGTATTGGGGGGATTTCAAGTCCTGAAGTTGGGGAGCTCAGGGGTTTGTGGGGTGTTCTGCTCAGGGCTTTCTTTCTTTTCTTTTTTTTTTTTTTTTTTTTTTTTTTAGTGGCTTTTTTTCACCTCCCTTTCCCCTGCGACAGACACATGGGTTAGGATGGGAAGACCTTCCCGGCTGCAGGCAGCTGTAGCTGAGGCATCATTGCCCAGCAGCCACTCAGGGAGACTGGAGAGGATTTGCTGCAATGGTGGACAGCTCTTGGGGCGGCACTCCACTCTGATGCAAGCCGAGGCAGGAAAGAAGGTTCAGACACTGTGGACAGCTCCGGAGGTTGCATCTGAACTGTGGCAGCAGACTGAGGAGGCTTCTGCCCTGACAGGTGCCTCTGTTTGGACCCAGAGCAGCACAGACTGAGGAAGGAAGGAGGGGCCGATGCTTTGACAGCTCCAGTGGCATACAGCTTAGGGAGTACACAACGTAGCAGAGAAGAGGAAAAGGGGCTGGGAGACAGAGGCTACTCTTCTCTCCTTTGCTACCTTGTTTGCCGGATCTCCTCCTGTCTCCTAACAACGGTCTCTCTGGCTCAGCCATTACACATACAAGAAAAACACTCAATAAAAAGAAATTATTCGCTTGATCAGGATGTGCTGCAGTCACACTGGGAAGGCTGAGACAGAAGGATTGGAGTTCAAGGCCAGTCTGGGGTATAGAATGACACCCGATTCACATAAAGAAATCATTGCAGCTGGAGTTGTGGTTAGAACTTTCTTAGCATGAGGGTAGCCCTAGGTTAGGTTTCCAGAAAAAAAGAAAAAAATCTGGGTGTGGCGGCACACAGGTTTAATGTCAACACTTAGGAGGCCTGGCACTCAGGAGGCCTGGATCCCTGTGAGTTACAGGCCGGATTTTGTATTCCCCATTCTCCTTTTCTAGTCAGTACTGGATCCTCCCTTTTATTTTAGTATCTTATTCTTCCGATTTCTTTTTGCCCATCCCATAACGCATAACAAAAGAATTAAATCATAACATGTTACGAGGAGTGCTTGTAAGACCCCTAAATAATCCTTGCAAGACCCGCTGTTGCATAAAGATCTGAACAACCGTCTTTCAATGCACGCAACAACCACAGCTTGTGCACTGCTTGGCCCTGAGCTGAGCTGTGCTGTCAGATCAACCTTCCTAGGATGACAGGAAGGCCCCGCCCACACGGGCCTGTCAGCTCGGGACTCCTCCTCAGACTGGCACTTGGACACGCTGTGGCCATTTTGGATGAGGGCGAGAGGAGAATGACCCAGGAAGTCCGGTGACGTGACCCTGCGTAGGCCCGCTAAAAGACCGAGTGCCTGAGAACCCCGCCCCGCCCCACACCCCCGCCCCTGGGCTGTATTTTGTCCATTCTCGGCTCTGGTACCGGGCTGCGGACCCTGGGATTGGGCAGGCACTTCCCGCGAGCGCTGGGCTGGCCCGGGTCAGGCCCGGGGTCCCCATGGCGCAGCTGCTCGCCCCGGGAAGTCGCTCGGCTCGGCCCCCGTCGGGCAGGGCCGGGGCCGTGAGCTTCGCGGACGTGGCCGTGTACTTCTCCCCGGAGGAGTGGGGGTGTCTGCGGCCGGCGCAGAGAGCCCTCTACCGGGAGGTGATGCGCGACACCTACGCTCTCCTGGGCGCGCTCGGTGAGAGCCCGTCCTGGCCGCCGGGGCAGAGCCGCGCGCGACGCCGGGGGTCGGGCGGGGGAGCGCGGATCCCTGGGCACCCAGCGGGTCGGCCTCCCGCATCGTGGGTTTGCTTTCTGCCCTCCAGGGGGCGGAGGCGCCAAGCCAGCGCTCATCTCCTGGGTGGAGGAAGAAGGCGAACGGTGGGGACCCGGTGCCCAGGATCCAGAGGAGGCCACGTGTGCCACAGCAGCCCACACAGGTGAAGGACCGGGTGCCCGGGCTTTGGGGGACTTCCGCGTGGCTGGCCCGTTGTGCTGTCTCCTAGTGACTGCATGGGTGTGCCTGGCAGTTTCTTCCCTGAACTGTGGTCCTGGCCCTGGACTCACCTAGAAGGGGCCGTGAGCGTTCCTGTGCGGTGCCCTCGCCTCAGATGTAGGCCCCACTAGGCTGTATTGACTGCAGCCCAGCGCCCCCGCTGCTGTTCCGCTGCCATCACTGTGGGTCCCTCCTGGAGGCTCCTTCAGTCCTCGCTGTCCACCTCTCACGAGCCGGCTGGACTCGGGACCACACAGCCGCGTTTCTTAGGCTGCCTCTGGACAGCCCTGCACCCTGCATGCTCAGATGCTGTGGCCTCTTCCCTCCTGTGCCCTGTCTGTCACCATGGGGGCCTGTGGGACTCAAGGAGCAGGACGAGTCAGAGTCTGAGCTTTTTCGTGGTCTCCCAGCAGATCGCAGACACGAGGAGGAAAGGTGGAGCCCACGGGAAGAGACTGAGGCAACCCAGAAGTGGAAGGAGCCTCAGCCCTCCTTGGCCGGCCCCCCTCGTCCCTTGGAGCAGCAGCCGGGCAGGGACCCTCAGCCGGGGCGCCCCGCTGTCGGTGTCCAGGCCACTGTGCTAAGGGCAGAGCAGCGCCATGGCTGTCACCTGTGTGGGAAGAGCTTCGCCTGGAGGTCCACCCTGGTGGAGCACCTGTACACTCACACAGGTGAAAAGCCCTTCCGGTGCCCTGACTGCAACAAGACCTTCGGCCGGGCCTCCTCCCTGAGCATCCACCGGGCCATCCACCGCGGGGAGCGGCCGCATCGCTGCCCTGTCTGTGGCCGGGCCTTCACGCAGCGCTCTGCCCTCACCACCCATTTCCGGGTGCACACGGGGGAGAAGCCCTACAGCTGTGCTGACTGTGGACGCTGCTTCAGGCAGAGCTCCACCCTCCGCGAGCACCAGCGGGTGCACAGCGGCGTCACCCCCTTTTCTTGCACGGACTGTGGCAGAGCCTTTTCCCATGCCTCCCATCTTCGGTGCCACAAGCGCACGCACACGGGTGAAAAGCCTTATTCGTGCCCTGACTGTGGGCGCTGCTTCCGGCAGTCTGGTAGTTTGGCAGTGCACAGGCGCACCCACAGTGGGGAGCGCCCCTACCCCTGCCCTCAGTGTGGCCGGCCATTTCGAACCAAATCAGCTATGACGAGCCATCAGTGGGTCCATCGGCCAGGAGCTGGAGGCCACAGGGACAGGAAAGCTAGTCAGTTATCTCCATCCCTGGCCCCTGGCTACGGGGACCAGGATCCACCTGTCAACTTCCAACACTATCCAGAGATATTCCAGGAGTGTGGGGGATGGTCCTAAAAATGCCAGGCTAGAGGGTGAAATGTGTGCGTTGTTTGAAGCCCAGAGGCTTGAACTCATGGCATCCTCTGGAAGTCACAGAAGTTCTAGCTGGGGCTGCTCCTGGGAACAGAGTACAGTCGTGTAGGTGGCTACCAGATGCATTTGCACCCGCCCTGATCCCACTGCCCGGCTCTGAGTCTATTGGGCTGGGGTAGAAACCCACTAGATCTCTCTCTGAGAAGCAAGGGCAGTTTCCTGCCTCACACGTGTTGCAGAGAACCTTGTTTGACTCGTTGCCTCTGTAATGCAGAGGCTGAAGTTTCTGGCTCTGTGAGAACTGAGGTGAAGAGTCTGGGGTGGTCCTGCATGCCTATGATCCCAGCATTTGGGAGGCAGAGACAGGAAGATCAGGAATTTGAAACCAGGTTGGGTTACCTGAGACTCCATCTAAAAATAAATAACAGGTGAAATGAATTGAGGTTTAAAAATCAAAGTATTACAGGCACAGAGGGCTCAGCAGTTAAGAGCATTGTCTGCTCTTCCAGAAGTCCTGAGTTTGATTCCCAGCAACCACATGGTGGCTCACAACTATCTATAGAGGAATCTGATGCCCTCTTCTGGCATGCAGGTGTGCAAGCACACACTTTTTAAGAGCCATCTTGTCATCAGTTGCCCTGTACTCCAGAACTCGGAGGTCCTTGTCCTGTGGCCTGCAGGCGTCTGAGACTAAGGTGAATGCTAAGCTTCAGTACTGCTGTCTTCTCCACGTGGCTGCCGAGTTCCTGCCACGGTGACTGGCAAACGCCTGTGTGTCAGGCCCTGGGGGTCGTGGAGGAGGATCACAGGTTCAGTGCAATCTTGGTGACTGTCCTCAAACAAACAGCCAACAACAGGGTCTGGAGAGCTTTGCACTGCTCACCCAGAGGACCTGAGTTCAGTTCCCAGCAACATGTTAGTTGGCTCACGACTGCCTGTAACTCCTGCTCCGGGCTAGAGCCTCTGTGAGCGCTTGCACTCACGTGTGCATACTCCCAGATAATTCAAAACCATAATGGTAAACAAAAACACAAAAGAGGAGGGGCGCTGGAAGAGAGTTGCCAGCACTTCCCAAAGCCGAGAAACCCGAGTCACATTGGACCCTAGCAGCTACGGGGAAAGCTGGGTGGTGGAGCTATACGCACATCCCTGGAGCTCCCTGGCCAGCTCGAGCAGCCTAAGTGGTGAGCTCCAGAGGTGGGAGAGGCCCTGCCTCAGAGAAGTCAGCCGAAGCTCCTGACAGTCACATGTGAGGTCGTCCTCTGCACGCCACAAGCACGTGCACACACATGCCCACACAGGGCACCCACAAGCTATCACATCCGCTTCTGTATCACATTCAGGGTTCTGTAGGTCCTGATTCACACTCAGGTCATCAGGCTTCGTTCGAAGCGAGCACACTTACCCTCTGAGCCGTCCTGACAGCCCACACTCATGATCCGAAAGTTTATGTTTTGGTATCTGAGGAGGTTAATTCACACAGCATCTTTTTAAATCATTGACCACTGCATGCCGTCCCTACGATCTGTACTATACACAGGCCAAAACTGTAGCCTGGAGTGTACGATCGAGGTCATGTGGAGGCACTATTTTGTGAGTGTGTGCTGAGGATTGTACTCGGGCAGGGCACACACTGCACCGTTTGGCTGAGTGTCCTCAGCCTGGACTGGTAGTTCTTTAATGTGAAATGACCCATCTAATGTGATGGGGAGAGTGCTCAATGGCTGAAAGCAGTTTTCCTGCAGAAGACCTGGGTTCATTTCCCGGCATCCACACGGTGCCTCGCTGCCGTCCACACCTCTGCTCCCAGCGCTCTCGTCTGGCCTCTGAGTGTACCAGGCACACATACATACGTGGAACCTTTTTTTTTTAACACTACTTCCACTGCTTGCTTTGTTGGTTCTTTGTGGGTTCTGCTCTCGTCTCCTGTCTTCTCTGGCTCAGCTCAGCTTCTGCCTCAACTACCACCAACTGCCTTCTCTGCTGCCCAATTCATCTTATACTGCCTCTTTTTTTGGGGGAGGCGGGGGTGTCTCAAGACAGGGTTTCTCTGTGTAGCCCTGGCTATCCTGGACTCACTTTGTAGAACAGGCTGGCCTCGAATTCACAGAGATCCGCCTGCCTCTGCCTCCCAGAGTGCTGGGATCACAGGTGTGGGCCACCAGGTGGGGCTTACTACTTCTTATTTTCCCTCTGTTCGGTCTAGCCTCTTCTTCTCTCTACCCCTACGCTGTTGTCTTTCTTCCTGCCTCAACTGTCCTCTCTGACCCTCTCTCTGTCTCCTGGAAGTCCAAACAACAAGGAGAAAATTAACCTTGTTATTTATACAACTGCAACAGACAATTCGAAGCAGTAACTATCCATTATGTATCATCCATGAGGGGTGAAATGGAGGACAAGAACAGCAGGAGCCTCAGCATATAGAGTCTGCCAGCACATGGAATTTTCTTGTATTTGTTATAACGAAATTGGGAAAATGGAATGTTAAGATTTGAGAGCCGTGAATAGAATTCCTATATCTTCTTTATTACCTAACACGTGGCCTATGACATTCTTTTTTTTTTTTTTTTTTTTTCTAGCCCCTTTCAAGAGCAGGAGAAGGAAAATCTTTTCTTCATGGTTCCTGTATATAATAATGCTTAGCCTGTAAAAATGTGTCAGTGGAAAGTTCTTCCACAAGGAAGGTTAAATAGTCCAACTCTATGTCAATATTTTGTGCAAAAACTGCTAGAAATAATAGTCATAGGCAGTTTCCTCAATCCATTATTTACCATGACATGGATGATGTTTTGTTGGCTGATTCTGATGTACATATTTTAAAGAAAATGTTTGGTGAAACAAAAACAATTTTGCCTTGTTGGTGTTCGCAGATTGCTTCCAAAAAAATACAGAGAGGAGATTCTATCCGTTATGTAGATTATAAAAATATGTCAACAAAAAATTCAACCACAGAAGATAAAGATCAGAACAAATTAGTTGTGAACTCTTAATGATTTTCAAAAATTCATGGGAAATATTAATTGGTTATGACCCATTATTGAATTAATTACTCAAGAGTTAAGTAATTTGTTTCAAACACTACAAGGAGATTCAGACTTAGACACTCTAAGACAGCTAACAAAGGAAGCAGAGAAAGAGTTAACTTTCATAGAAAAGAGACTGCAAGATATTTATCTGGATCTAGTAGATCCCAAACTGGACTGTATTTTATCTGTCTATCTATCTATCTATCTATCTATCTATCTATCTATCTATCGCCTTAAACCCATTCTCTGACTGGGCCCCATTATGCAAAGGTAAGATAGTATTTTAGAATGGATCTTCTTATCATGTAGACAAGTGTAACCATAGGGCCTTTCTGTGCCCACCCCAGCTCCCGAATAATGACACGAAGCTTTTACCTTTTATTATTTGTCTCTTAATCCTTGTTTCCTCTCCATGTCTGGCTGGCCACTCTTACACCTCTAGTTCCCACCTAAGACCCTCTCTTTGAGCCTGGAAGTTCTGCCTCTCTTCTTCTGCCCAGCTACTGGCTGTTCAGCTCTTTCTTTAACCAATCAGAAGGTGACGGAGGACAGTGTTTACAAAAATTCTGACACAGGAGATGTTTAACAATATCAAAGTTGTGCATGTACTCAGCTCTCTGCTGGTACAGAAATGAGGATTTGAATAGACCAGGACAACCTTAATACAGCGCACAAAAACATCAGTACAACATCTCCCCCATTGGTCCAATTAAAGGCTCTGTTACATTAATAAACTATACACAACAAGAACAATTATGAAAACTACCAGATAAGAATTACACTCAGAATGCCCAATCCATTTGTATTTGACAGCTTGGGAGAAAGTAGTCATCTATCTGTCCTAACTTGCTGAGTCCAAAGTTCTGTACCTGAATCACTTTCTATCAAAACTTGCATCTATAAACCTATAAATACTTTAAAGACCTTAAAACATTAAAGCAGCTTCAAAACTGCATAATTATTAGCTAAAACAAATCAGGGGAGAAATGT